ACAGTTCAGCGCACCGAGGTGATACTCGGAGACAGTAAGCCAAGTGTGAAGCTGGCCATAGTAGCAAAGCTAACAAATGCGAAACTTGAGCGAAACGAGGCAAGAACATCCGAATAACAAACTCACGCTAGAAAGTAAAATGCGTGACTCTCTGCTAACACCATGAAATAGTCCCCAATGGTCGATCCTGTTGGCGATTGTCGCAGTTCCCGGATGTGTTTTATAACAATCCAGACCGTAAGAAACAAGGCAAGGATCTCCCATACAGCGGTGGATATCATACTCTCGAAATTCAGATTTTGCTTGTACATGTCAATTTCGGTCCAGCAGACGTGGTAGCCAGAAAAGATGGCCTCCTCTGGTAAATGATCATGAGTCTTTTGGGCTCCAGGCTTTCATCAATCTCAAAACTTACGCCCTGAAACACCCAGGTTTGCGATCACCACCATAACAACGGAGGTAATCGTGGAACCCAACAACATTACAACAAGAAAGATAAGCAACTTTTTGGATTCTTGATACATGGCATTTATCCGAGCAATCATGATGACTTGAATGATATTTTAGTCAAGTCACTATCGGTAACGAAACCACAGGTGAGCTCACCGCCTAGCATGGCATTGACGATGACAGGACTCCATGTCCCTATGTACCAAACGATAGTGCCTGAAAACCTAGTTACTTGGTAGTAGGATAATTGCTTAACATGAACTCACAACTGTTGTAGTCGTTATCTTGAGAACACAAGCCGGCCGAAAAAATATCACTCACTCCTATATAGGAGCGTAGTTAGCAGTTGAATGGATATGATAGGGTACAGAATACCCACTGCATCGGTGATCGAGACAGGTAAACTCTCTGCATGCCATTAGCCAGAAGAAGCGAACACATTTGAACATACATACGCAAGGTGTAGGCGCTGGTTCCGAGATAATCTATTAGCACATTGCAGTGTTATGTAGATAGCCTTGCAAACGTACACAGAATATATTATTCCAATCCAGCGCACCTAGCATATGTTAGAGTCAACACAACATTCCAACTGCGCTCATAGCAAAAACATACACAAATATAAAGAACGGTCATGATGGACCAACGTTGTCCCTGCCCGAGTCAACTGCATCATGCCGTTTGGTTCTGATATAGGACTTTGCTCACTAAGATCAGTTCGAACTGTGGAAGCATTCTCAGTGAGATGCACAGATCATGACGTCAACGTACCTCTCGTCCGAATGTTAATGCTTGAATATTGCATGCATATCAATAATCCCTCGAAACGTATTATCTCGCTCACCCCAGTTGTATATCACCGCAGTAGAGCTTGCAACTGTGAAGCGATAGTCAGAGATACTGAAATGTCACTATTAGCATCACAATTGTTCTCTCTACGAACCTACAAAATAGCCCAAGAGATGACAAAAACTGATGAACGGCCACCGAGCGGGATCATCTGAGACTATGGTCATATCGAGATGGGGCGTAGTTGAGTGCGTGCATAAATACGTCCATCGCTTTTATAGTGATTAGTTTGGTGTCCGTATTTCGCATCAGAATCTTTGATTGATCCCAACAAATGTTGTCGAATGAGTTGAATGAAATCACGCAGATGTCCGATAGTCACAAGCCCTACGAACGTTCGAAGCAAAGGCATTTGTAACAAGCGACAGATTGGTAGGAACGCCTCAGTCAATGTCAACTTTGGCGTGACTATTTAGACTCTGAACTACATCTTTGAGAGGTTGACGCACCATTCGACTTGTCCGTGGTACTATACGGCAGGTCATAAGCCTAGTGACTATCAGGAATCATCAATATTGTCCCAGACGAATATAATGCCGTGACGTTCCAGCGGAGTGAACACAGCTTATTTCTCGCACGACTGCTTGAGGCGCAAGGAAACACTTTCAAAAGTCAAGGCTGTGCGTGACGGATGAGCGGATCCAACTCAGTAGGCAGAAAACCTCCAAGTAGATTGATCGACGGATACTAATTGCGTCCACATATATATAGGAGCATCTCAGTTGAATCCAGGGTGACCGTCGATCGCCTTCATGGTCTTGATGTCGGATAACAACTACATGGCCACTTCAATCAGTATTGCGGCAGCGGGTCCTTGATTCCAAAACAGAGTGGTTACTTACTTTGAAAAAACAACACACAACTGTACTCCACACTTGTATCCAACTTGCTCGAGGTTCAGCGGCGCACGAGCTGAATAAAATTTTGATGAAACCTCTCCCACTATCAGGCTGGAGTCTATTTGGGTTGGGGGATTCGTTTTGTGAGGTGGGTCAGACGTCGCATTCGCAGCTAGCTAGCTGCCTGGCACGTGGGCTGTGTGCGGAGAGATTTGAATTTGAGAGCTGCCCAATGCGCATAAATCAATCACTTACTTGTTGCCCATCAAAACCGGATCGAACTGCTATGTCCCGGCGACGTCGCTTTCTTGCATGATAGCTTATCGCCATGTGTTAGTTTGTTCAATGATAAGCTACTACATAATCACTCCAAAACTGAGTACTCACTTGCTTTATAGCAATTTTCACGAATGACCGTTGACCAAGAATACCACACGACAATTGTTATAGAACATTAATACGACAGCAAAACACAACTTTTCTGATTGACGGATGAGGAAGAAAGGAAACATGAAATTCACAGGCTTACATCAGTGTCACACGGTCATAGTGAGTCACATGTTCCCAATGACATCGGTGCCTCGGGTACTGTCCGGTTCGGTCGACCTTCGCTTCGAAATTGACAGGAATCGTTTCATTCTTTTAAAGCTCTGGCGATTTAAGTGGTGCGTGTGTACACTATCTCATCCAGTCCCCTCAAGATGGCAACCTCAATTCAACTCCCATCAGACGCAATCCCTTTCAACATCTTTGCCTTAACATCAATGCCTCCGAACGATAGATACCGTGGCGCTGTCGTAGAGGTGCGTATCATTAAATTAATTATTGTACGAAACTGAGATAAGTCAACGCATCATCGATTGCTAGGACCTGCAACTTCCCCCTGCATTCTGTTTGCCCTCCTCCGAATCTGTATCTCGCGCAATGGAGTCAGCATATGATCGTGACTTCTCCCATATACCGTAAGTACGTGTCTTCCATGAGCGCCAATGGCTAAGTTTCCTGTTCAGCGTTCTCAACCGCGATCGTCGTCCGCTCGGGTACGTAGACGTCGCTGCTCTGAAAGAAAAGTGGGAAGCAGGCACAGCATCGCCAGTACGTATCGCTATTAGATCAACTATCTCTTGCATGCTTAATCCGACGGTCAGAACGACTCCGTCAGTAAATACATGACCAAGTTCAATCGTAGCGCGTCTCAGCATTACACTCTCGTAACACCCTTGACGCCCCTTGCGGAACTAGCGGAGTTTTTGCAGGATAATATCTTTGCGTTAGGTGCACCTCGAGCTAAATGTTTTGGTTTTACGGTTCTGACTTCTGATGGTGATTGTCGTAGTTACGGACCAGGGCAAAAATTTCGTGCTTGCCGTAGCGACATCACAGGATCTGGATGTGAGCCAGCATTTTTTTTCGGGCTCAGGATCGTGGACTGATTTTGTATTTTTAGAATTTCGTGACACGTAGGGGTCGTTGATCTGATGGCTGATGGTCATCTATCGCCTTAATTATTACTCTCAGCCATGTGGTTCTATATCTATCAAGTGGAATATGTTTCAATATCATACACTAGGCGCCTGATGGTGCGTTGGTATATTGTATCACGGTTGTGAAGTTGAGAGGGGTACTTATTTCGTCGCGGAGAGGACATGCGACATTGTCTCCTTGCTATATGTATCGCTACTTTGATGTATGGTCGGGATGAAATACATGTACATCGGATATGGTGTAATGGTTAACATTACCGCCTCTCAAGCTTAGAATTCGCGGTAGCTCGGGGTTCGATTCCCCGTATCCGAAATTTCTTTTTGTGATCTGGCTGGTGACCGGTGACGCGCCACGATCTGGTAGAAAGTCTAGGGGCTTGCAAGGATTAATCCAAGTTCGCTAGCAGCGGAGTTGCAATGTCATTGCGCCACCCATCCTCCACCTGCTTCTGTACCCAAAATTAACTGAGGTGATACTATCCAACGAAACGGATATCTGCATTGCCCAGGCTGTTCATGAATATACCTCCTTCACCTCGTTAGGACTGGTATATGCAAACTTATTTTGGTAATAACAGCACCGTCACTGTAATTGCTGAAGAAGTCAAGCAGTCAATTTTTATTCATCATACCTCAAGTTATCACCCACCCTTACCGACAAGTTCTTCCCCGGTTTCGTGCCTTCGTTTCGGAGGTTCCGAAATGGACGCCGTTGATGGTGACGTCCCACCGTCCCAATTCCCACCCAGTATTTTATATGCTATGCTTACCTGCGAGAACAACGCACCACAGGATGTTATTGGGGTGGGCAACCCCTTCGTCGGCTTATCGAAGCCAGGTGATCTGACTGCACATACAGGCAGGTTATGGTACTGTGACTCAGCTGGGACAGCGGTAGTCACTTGGTGAGTGCCCTCCTCCTGAATACGATCAATTCAAATTTTGATGATCGCTTCAGATCTCTCATCTTCCAGACCCTGAGATGTTGAAGGACGCGGAGGTGATATTCCAAGTTCAGATTTAGTGGCGTTCGTAGGTAACTTTGTACACTTTCAAAGGTCGAGCCCTCTGGCTCGCATTGAAGCCGTTAGATGGTCTTTGTGCTTACCGTTTTGTGAACAAACAACCGAACACCGTGATTTCAAGGCCAGAATTCCATCTTCCAGATGATTGGGGATCGGGTCGACAAACGACAAGCTCCCCAGTTTGAGCCGTATCAGGACAACATAGTTATTATATGTGATACTGGTATCCCAGTGTTCCCGTCCAATTTTGTACAGTCTCGATGCTACGTATGCTTACCTTTTTTGTGGCGTAGCTGATGAGTATGTGGTGGTTACAGAACCCGGAATTCGCGTCCGTGCATGATTCTTATTCGATGCACTCTACCAGCATCGAAAATTTGTCCTACATCATCCCAGACACCTTCATCGCGCTACATTTCCCGGACGTCCTTGAGAAAGTAGGTATATATCACTCATGCTACTCGACCGCACTACTCAATCCTTCACCGCAGTTCCGGAATCAACGCTCATCCGACAAATTTTTCATATCGCTCGGCTGCTGAATAACATCCGAACTACAGCTTATGTGTCGTCTGAACAGGCAACTGCGCTCCGTGGAGGTGAGTTTATGCCCTTTGACAGTATCATTCACGTCTCAGATGTAGAAACCCCTTCCATCGCCCAGACTTCCCAGGATTCGGAGGCTGAGGCTGCGAAGCTGATGCTAGGGAAGCTCGGACGGTCTATCGAGAACTGATGATCTCGAAGGGCAGAATGACGCGGAGCGTGAGGAACGAGACAGACGGCGCTGATCAGGACAACACTGATTCGCTTCCGGTGGTCAACTTTATTGATTTCAGTGCTATTGTTTACACCTCTGCCAAAAAAGGCGATTGTAATACGGAGACGAATGATTTTTAATAAGTTTGCATGTGTCGCCCCGTCTTTGTCTTTCTGTGCAAACCGATGAAGGGATGTGACTGGGGCAGCCGAGCGCAGAACCTTGTCTAATTTTGTCCCCGCGGACCAACCTCCCCTCTCCCAGTCAACATTTAGATGCTGGTCTCCCAGATATTTGCATCCATTGCTCGTAGTCCCTCACGCATGACAAGCATATACCAAGTTAGAGATGGCTGATAGTTCAATATCGATTTCGTTGAGGTCTTGATACTCCCCACTTCCGTGTGACTTCATCTATTACAAGACTCTAACGCAGCATGCAAGTCATGATCAAGGGACTAATAATTACTGACCAAAGCTCTCCAGCATGTTGCTAGCTGCAGTCCTCAACTCCTTCGCAGCAGTGATGATCCCCTCTCTCTGCTCTGAGTCTTGCATCTCCTGTCCCATCTCCTGTAATCGCCTCTCCTCTTGCATGTCCCACTCCAACCTTTCGACCGTCTCATCCAAATTGGGGATGAGTTGCCCGAGATCAGATTTCGAAGCAATCTGCATATACTTCTTTGTGGCATCCACAAGGACAAGAAGGATCTTGAAATAGCACGCGTTGTTAATGCCATAGGGAGGATTACTCCACGCGCTTTTCATCACGTCCCACCACTGCTGCTCTGTAATAGGATCGAGCGTTGTGACCGATGTCTGTTCAGATGTGATTTGGAGGAGGATACCAGCTATGTAAAAGGCATGCTGCGTGGGTGATTCAGAATTGCAGTACTGTGGAATCATGCCAATGCACCGATCAACATGGCGATCCCCAGACAAATAGGGGTGCCAGCCAGAATTTCTTGCGAGGGGATAGACCAGTCCGAGATAGCACAAGTCGCGGCTATAGTCGAAAAAGAGGTTGAGATCATCATTGGCGGGTGTTCTACCCGGGTGCGGACAAAGCACGGATAGAATAGCGGGGGAGAGCTTGGTCATCATGTCTGCATCATCAATGGCATCGATCGAGGCAATTTCTTCTCGGGCAATGTGAGCAGCGCGAAGAGCAGCATGGCGTATGTGGAGAGGCATGTTACTGTCCATGCAGGCGATGAGCCTCTCGATGAACAGATGTTGTTTAGCGGAGCTGCAGCACGCTTTCATACTAACGAATAGCAAAAGGATGTCATATGTCGCTTCGTAGTCGTGGTCGTCGGAATATATGAAGTCGAAGTAGTCCACCACCCAGTCGAAGTCTTCTGGCGAGTGGGATAGGCCTACAGACACATCCCACACCTGGGCAGGGTCCCGATGTAGTGGGGAGCTTCGGGTGAAGGCCGGGGAGACAGGGATAGGAGGAGGACGTGGTCATGAGGGATAGCAGAGGATAGGAGAGTAGAGCAGATGACGCAGTTAGAGGAGGCAAGGACTCGACCGGCAGATTCCGGGGTCTCGGGGCTTGGGGTCTAGGAGCACATAGAGCACACTCTTGTATCATACGACAGACGACGACGACGACGCTGTCTTCACCCTCTCCCGAGCGCAAGGCTGGCTAGGACACCGAGAAATGTAGAAAGTAGCGAATATGAAGTGCAGTATCTTTCGCAGCACTGCCAAAGAAACCGAGGCATCGTTTTGTTCGGATGACCTCGCTTGTAAATAAATCTTCCTGCACACGTCCAGGTTCCGTATGATGTGAACTACAGGATAAAGGTGAGTTCTGGGAAGCTTGAGGATGTGACAAATAATATCGAGGAGCTTGCATGCCCGGCGTGCGACTCCTGTGCTATCGTTGTTGAGCTCGCCTCCATCCCATGCCCAGAGAGCCTTTTGGAACTGCGCCACAAGGGAGTCGCTGAGTCGAGGCAGAGCAGAACTACATGATCTCTTCGTTAATCATGGCTGAAAGAACTACCAAATGAGTTGATGGCACCTTTTATCAATGCGAACTATGTCTTTCTTGTCAACCTTAGCCCCGACCATGACGCAACCAAGGATAAGGCAATTGGCTACGATTTGATTCGACGGAGAGGACGGGGATGATAGCAATTTTGATATCACTGTTACTGCGAGGTTTTCTATGCCTTCAATCACTCGCCCAGTAACAAAGTGATAAGGAAGAAGATGCGACAGCCGCTCATAGACGGAGTCGGGGCAAGAAAACCAAAAAGCAGGCCACGAAATACTGTAACCTGGACGACAAATTCATAGTCGTGTCAAGCACCGCCAGGTGGCCCAGGTCTGTGCGCATGGATATGGAGATATCAAGTAACACGTCGAAGTCTCGTCTCCCGCGGATAATAAATTCGCCATGGTCAGGATATGCTTGAAGAACACATCCATAGTATAGGTGAGTTAAAGCCATTGTACATGCCGAGGCCTTCTCCTCCAAGGAGGGTACGATGCGCCTCTGAATGTCGACGCAGCTCATAAAAATATCAGACAGCTGATGCAGCATGTCTGAAACATCAAGATCCAGGGGCCATTCGACCTGCGGGACAAGGCATGCAGCAGCAAGAAATACTTCAGGATCCGTAGATGTCTCGAGCAGCCACTTGAGGCTACGCGCTTCGAGATCGCTGGTAGATATGTCAGAGAGGTCGAGATTGAGGGTGTCGTCATTCTCCGCCAAAACATCCAGATCCTGGTCGAGCGGTTGTGCCTCTGAGTCCACGACATTTGTTGCAGAATGCAGAACCGAAGAACGCAGCAAGTTATGAAGCCTAGTGATTAACTGCCGAAGAGATCGTCGTGCGAATGTACCTATCGCATACACAGGGCCTAGCGAGTGAATGAGCACTAAATATCTTTTTAATATTAGAAAAAATTATCACTTCTAAATACCTCAAACAATCGGGTCCATCCCGATCTGACGATACTAAAAAATTGTTTGAGCACGCCTGACACGAAACGGTCAAAACCTGTGCACACGGAAGAAGACATAACTCACCGTGCAGTGACGTCGTGGGCCGCTGGAAATAACAGGAAACTCGTTTGGACATCAGGTGTAGAACCCCTGCAATGTTGATTCAGATGGGGAACGGTCACCAGAATTCGGCGAAATGATCTTACTGTCGACGTACAATGCCCGTAATATGGTTGATATCGGCGTCTGAAATGGACAAGCAGGAGATATCAAACAAGCCATTACGGTCAGGGAATAAAACAGAAATCCGAAGACCGTCGTTCCGATGATGACCCAGGCGATGCTCGCCTGCTCGTACCACAAATGGCCGCCAAGAGCGATCCCAAATAGAAGAAGAGAGATCTGAAGTAAAACTGGAAATGATTGTACGACAGCATCAAAATGCCATGTGACGAGGCCGTTGAACTTCTCTTGCCTGCGCTTCCCTCGTTCGTCCTCCGAGCCGCGGCCATATCTGTTCGACTTGTAGTACCCAAGCCACTGCTTTCCCAGCACGGCCCCGAATGCAGCAAGCAAGCTCATGGACAAACTCGCATATGCGATCGTTTGGATCCATAAGATCGGCGCGGTCAGAGACCACACAGATGCTGGGTCTACGGGGGTGGAGCCTGCTTCAGCGAGATTGCCGAGTCCTATCTGCACGAGTTGCTTCAAAAGGGCATTCGTGGTATCGCTAGGGTCGGGACTAAGATCAGACTCCATCGCGACAATGAAAGACGTGCTGACAGCAGAGAAAAGACCAGACTGGTCGAACATCAGTCTCGAAACGGAATACAAATAAGGACGCCGAACTTACGAAGATCAGGACGATATCCATGTCGGTAGTGTATTGCTCGAGAAACTCGCTGTCGTGTTCCTCTGCGACTCTTTTGTACACACCCCAGAAACGAGACCGTTTGTCTTTTCCAGTCTTCAACGCAATTGTTGAGTCCTGAAGAACATCCAATACCTGCTTCATGACATTTGCTCTGCGTGTAGGGCGTGGTCAGCTGCGATCGCCTGGCTTCAAGTTTTTGGCTCACAATTCGCTTAGAGTCGGCTGGTCCTTCTCTGCTACAACCTTTTCCGCCTCGCTGAGACAATTGAGGAGCATATTTGACATCATTATTGACAAGAACTTACGTTGCTAAATCACTGACTGATGAAACATTGGAGGTATTTTCCTGTTCATGAGGTCCCAACGGCCGTGAAGGTCCAGCATCCGAGCTGCAATTCTAGTAAGGAGTGGCGCAGACCTCCGTCAGGAAAGAAACACATACATCCCTGATGGCAGCTCTGCCAAAGGTTCAACATTCATCTTCTCCCTGCCTTGCTGTTAGATCGGCGACATATTCCAGGAAGCTGCAACTCACTCCTCAATGAGTCCTACAACGTCATTTTGCGGAGGAAGCTGCTCATCCGAGTCGTTGTGGGTGCGTTGATCCTCGGCGTCGTCGGTGGCTGATGCTTGTGACATGAGGATTCCAAGAAAAGCTAGTGAAATTTGGAAGAGTCTGAGGTGAGCGGACAGAGCAGATGGAGGTGGCACACAGCAAGTCGTTTAGGCGGCTACGACTCGAACTGGCATGACAAACACGTGCTTGCGAGTGTTGACGCCGAAAGTTTTCGTGAGAGCTCCCTGCAGTGAACTGCGACCTTACCATCATGATGGTAATAGATCCTTCTAGGCCCAGTCTTTATGTGATATCATGATAACGTGTCTGAGGCATCCATTGAAGCTGACACTTGGCAATATTAATATTTTGTTTGGCCATCTACACTCACATAAGACCGGATATGATATGGTGTAATGGTTAACATTACCGCCTCTCAAGCTTTCAAGCTTAGAATTCAGGGTAGCTCGGGGTTCGCTTCCCCATATCGAAGATGCTGATTGTTGTTTTAGGAGCAAGGAGGGAGCCAAATTTACACGATCATCGAAGTTGGGAAGCAACATAACGATCACGTGATGAGCACTAAGAGTGCTCGACACTCTTGACTCGAAGTACGCGCTGGGTTGACACCACGCCGCACGGTACAGGCGTGAATAAGTGCTGATGAAATTCGTCTCTACTAGGTCATACACAGACCCGCTTCTGCATTACAAGAACTGCTGGAAAATAGCCTCGACGCCGGATCCACTTCGATTCAAGTCACCGTCAAGGATGGCAGTATGAAGCTGCTTCAGATTCAGGACAACGGCTGTGGCATTTGTGTATGTCTTCCTCGCATTCGCATCAAGGCTTTCTATTGAGTTTGTTTGAAGAAAGAGGACTTACCCTTGCTCGCTGAGCATTTTACTACCTCCAAATTGACCACCTTCTCTGACCTCTCCAAGCTGACTACTTACGGGTTCCGAGGGGAGGCTCTGGCATCTATATCTCACGTCGCGCACGCAGCGCACTTGACGGTGATCATGAAGACCAAGTCAAGCAACTGTGCTTGGAAGTATGTATTAAATAAATTGTACACGGAACAAAAACACCTGACGAGAATCCTACAGGGCTGCTTATGTTGATGGCGGTCTCGTCCTGTCGAAAGCGGGATACACGCCAGACACGAAAGGTTGGTCTTGAAACAACGGAACCACCATCACGGTATGTCCCCAAGAAGTCAAACAAATCTCTCTCTTCACTCAATTCACCACATTGAAGACATGTTCTATAATACACCCACTCGATTGTCTGCTCTCCGAAGAATATGCCTGAATACTTGCTGTAATGATCAAGTATGCTGTGCAAGATCCACTCAGCGTTCTTTCACGGCGAATAGTCAAGACTTTGATGGATCGCCGAGAGATGCTGCACGAGTATTTTTCCTTGTACATTTCAGAGACCGGCGAAGACACTTCCGCACCTTCTTTGCGAGTACACTCCCAATCTCGACAGGCTACCCATGTTCCTGATGCGTCTTGGACCTTAGGTACGGTCCAACGCTATATTCTCATTCCACAGATACCAAGTCGTCTCAGGTCCTCTGGGAATCCGAGAAAGAGTGCTTGTGCTCTTTCATGCGCGACCTAGCGTACTTCTACTCCCCAGCCCCACTGTCCGTCATCTAAGCGGCCGCCTCTGACGAAGATGAACAAAACAAGCAGAAATATGAAGCATAGCGCATTCGAAACATCCTATTTCATGCGATGCGCAAGTACCTGGCAGCTCCTAAGGACAATGACGTCGTGCAGGTGGCAAGCTTACCGGATCTTTATCGGGTCTTCGAATTGTCTTCGAACGCTGTTAGACTTCACATCATACTGCAATTTCTATCCGCGAATACTGGTGCATAACTCTAGAGCTGCCATAATGTATGTAAACTACAGTGATTTTATAATTCTAATGATGCATCTATAACGACGAAAGCGTCGTGAAGATAAGTCAATACAATCCCTTTCCATCGGGAACGGAACGATAAAAGGCCGGATAGTCGTACTTGAATGCGTCTACCTCAGACTCGTCGATGCAGTCAGCTGAAAGGTCGCGTATTCCACTGATATGGAACACATCTTCGAAGGGAGTCTGGGGCATTTTATTAGAGCTGTGTGTAGATCCAACCAGAATGGACGCGACTTTATCTTTGCGTCAGTGTTCCCGTCCAATTTTATTCAGTCTCGAATCTCGATGCTAGTGCCTATACTTATGATAAACCTTTTTTGTGGCATAACTGATGAGTATGTGGTGTTCATATACACTGGTAGGGCCTGGAATTTTTGTCCGTGCCGCTGGTTCTTATTCGACGCATGTCTTTGTCTTCCTGCGAAGGAATGTGACTCAGCCGAGGGTAGAACCTTGCCAGTGACATTGACCCCGTGGACCAATCTCCCCTCCCCCAGTAGATATCTACATGCTGGTCTCCAAAATATACGCATGTCATGCCTGTCGTTCCCCAACGCCTCATGTATGACATGCGTTTACCAAGTCAGAGATGACTGACGATTCAATATCAATTTCGTTGAGGTCTTGATACTTCCCACTTCCGTGCACACACTGCCCCATGACTTCCTCTATTCCAGGAGTCTAACAAAATGCAAGCACCGTCATGATGAGAGGACTACTAACTATTGACCAAAGCTCTCTAGCATGTTGCTGGCTACAGTCCTCAACTCCTTCACAGCAATGATGATTCCCTCTCCCTGCTCTAAACCTCGCATCTCTGGTCGCATCTTCAATCTCAATGCCAGGCCCGTCTTCCGCAGTTGCATCTTCGGCTCCAGACTTCCGAGAAACTCGTCCAGACTTCCGATGAGCAACTCGAGATCAGATTCCGAAGCAATCTGCATATACTTCTTTGTGCCATCCACAAGAACAAGGAGGGGATCGAAATAGCGTGCATCGTCAATGTCATAGGGAGGTTTGTTCCACGCGCTTCTCATCACGTCCCACCACTGCTGCTCCGTAACAGAATCGAGCGATGTGACCGGTGTTTGTTTAGATGTGATTTGGAGGAGGATACCAGCTATGTAAAAGGCATGCTGCGTGGGTGATTCGGAATTGCAGTACTTTGGAATCATACTGATGCACCGATCGATATGGCGATCACTAAACAAATGGGGGTGCCAGTTGGAATTCCTCGCGAGGGCACAGACCAGTTCGACATAGCACAAGTCGCGGTGATAATCGACAAGGCGGTCAGGATCATCATTGGCGGGTGTTGTACCTGGGTGTGGACAAACCACAGATAGGATAGCGGGGGAGAGCTTGGTCACAACTATGTCTCGTATCGTCGTATCATCAATGACATCAATCAAGGCGATTTGTTCTCGCGCACTGTGAGCAGCGCGAAGAGCGGCATGGCGCAAATGAAGAGGCATGTTGCTATCCATGTAGGCGATTAGCCTCTCAATGAACAGATGTTGTTTAGCGGGGCTGCAGCACACTCCCATGCTACCCAGCAGTAAAAGAATGTCATACACCGCTTCATCGTCAAAATAGATGTAGTCGAGGTAGTCTACAAGCCAGTCAAAGTCTTCTGGTGAGTGGGAATCGCCTTGCCAAAACCAGTCGGCTGACCACAGCCTGGTAGGGTCCCGAGAAACGTCAGAAGCAGCGAACATGAAGTGCAGTACCTTTCGCAGCACTGCCAAAGAAACCGAAGCATCATTTTTTTCGGATGATTTCGCTCGTGAATGAATCTTCCTGCACACGTCCAGGTTCCGCATGGTGTAGAATAAAGGACTATATGAACATCCAGCAAGCTCAATGATGCGACAGATAATGTCGAGGAGTCTCAATGCCCGGCGGGCGACTCCTGTCCTATCTTGGTTGAGTTCATCTCCGTCGTATGCCCAGAGAGCCTTTTGGAACTGCGCCAAAAGAGACTTCCTGAGTTGAGGCAGAGTAGGGCTACACGATCTCTTTGTTAATGAAGGCAGAAAAACTACAAAATGAATCGATGGCACCTTTTATCAATTTGAACTATGTCTTTCTTCTCAACCTGAGCTCCGACCATGACGCAAGCAAGAAAAATGCAATTGGCCACGATTTGTTTTGACGAAGAGGATGGGAATAATAGTAACTTTGTCATCACTTTTATCGCGAGGTCTTCTATGTCTTCGTTCACTCGCCCAGTAACAAAGTGATAAGGAAGGACATGCGACAGCCACTCAGGGACGGAGTCAGGGGAAGCCTCTGACTAAAAAATGTCCCACCTATTGCCATCTGGATGACAAAGATTCATAGTCGTGTCAAGTACTGTCTGGTCGCTTGTGCGCATGGCCAGGGAAATCCCAACAAACATGTCGAAGTCTCATCTCCAACGGACAGTAAATTCGCCGCGATCAGGATATGCTTGAAGAACACATCCATAGTATAGATGACTTAGAGCCATTGCACATGCAGAGGCCTTCTCCTTCAACGATGGTACGATGTGTCCCTGAATGTTGACACAGCTTATGAAAATATCAAACAGCTGATGCAGTATGTCTTGAACGTCAAGATCCAGGGGCCATTCGACCTGCGGAACAAGCCTGGCAGCGGCAATAAATACTTGAGGATCTGTAGATGTCTCAAGCAGCCACTTGACGCTAGGCGCTTCGAGATCATTTGTGGGTATGTCAGGGAGATGGAGGGTAAGGGTGGGATGAATCTCTGCCCAAACATCCAGATCCTGGACGAGCAGTTGCGCCTCTGAGTCTATAACCTTGTTGAAGAGTATAAAAACCAAAGAATGCAACCAGTTATGAAGTTCTAGTGATTAAATGCTAAAGAGATCATCATTTGAATGTACATACCGGAGGTACAGGACCTGGGGAATGATTGAGCCTTGAGTATCTTTGTGATAGTAGATAAGATCGTCACCTCTAAATACTTCAGACGATAGGGTCCATCCCAATCTAACGATACTAGACAATCGTTCCAGCATGGCTGACATGAAACGGTCAAAACCTGTGCGCGTGGAAGAAGACATAACTTACCGTGCAGTGATATCATGAGCCACTGGAAATCACAGGAAACTCGTTTGAATGCCAGGTGGAGAAATCCTGCAATATTGATTCAGATAGGGAACAACCACCAGAATTCATGATCTTACTGTCGATGCGCAACACGTACAATATCGTCGATGTCGGTGTCTGAAATGGACAGGCAGTAGATATCAGACACGCCATCACAGTCAGAGAATAAAAGAGAAATCCGAAGACCGTCGTTCCAATGATGACCCAGGCGATGCTCGCCTGCTTGTACCACAAATTGGCGCCAAGAGCAATCCCAAAGAGAAGAAGAGAGATCTGAAGTAAGACCGGAAAGGATTGTACGACAGCATCAAAATGCCATGTGACGAGGCCGTTGAACTTCTCTTGCCTGCGCTTTGCTTGTTCCTCCTGCGAGCCGCGGCCATATCTGTTTGACTTGTAGTACCCGAGCCACTGCTTTCCCAGCACGGCCCCGAATGCAGCTAGCAAGCTCATGGACAAACTCGCATATGCGATCATTTGAATCCACAAGGTCGGCGCAGTCAGAGACCAGGTAGATGCTGGGTCTGCAGGCTTGGAGCCTGCCTCAGCGAGGTTGCCAAGTCCAATCTGCACGAGTTGCTTCAAAAGGGCATTCGTGGTGTCACTAGGGTCAGGACTGAGGTTGGACCCCATCGCGACAATGAAAGACGTGTTGACAGCGGAGAAAAGACCAGACTGGTTAAACATCAGTTTCAGAATGGAATGCAGATAAGCACGCAAAACTTGCGAAGATCAAGACAATGTCCATGTCGGTAGTGTATCGCTCGAGGAACTCGCTGTCGTGTTCCTCTGCGACTCTTTTGTACACCCCCCAGAAACGAGACCGTTCGTCCTTTCCACTCTTCGACACAATTGTCGAGTCCTGGAGAATATCCCATACTTGCTTCATGATGTTTGCTCTGCGTGTGGGGCGTCGTTAGCTGTGATCGATAAGCTTCAAGTTTTTCACTCACAATTCGCTTAGAGTTGGCTGGTCCTTCTCCGCCTCGCTGAGACAATTGAGAAGTATGTTTGACGTCATTATTGACAACTTACAGAACTAAATTGCCGACTGGTGGAACATTGGATGCACTTTCCTGTACCAGAGGTCCAGACGGCCGTGAAGGTCCAGCATTCGAGCTGCAATTCTAGTAAGGAGTGGCGAAGATGTCCGTCAGGGCAGAAACACATACATTCCTGATGGCAGCTCCACCGAAGATCCAACGTTTATCTTGTCCCTGTCTTGCTGTTAGACGGGCGACAGGTTCCAGGAAGCTGCAACTCACTCCTCGACGGGTCCTACGGCGTCATACTGCGAGGGAGGCTGCTCATCGTTCAAGTCGGTGCATTGATCCTCGTCGTCGGTGCCTAATGCTTGTGACATGAGGTTGTTATACCTACTAGTATTACTCACGATAAGTTTTGAACACTTCAAAAAACTCGCTAAAGCTTCAAAAAACTCGCTAAAGTCTTTAACAAACTCGCTAAAGTCTTCAACAAACTCGGCCAGAAAGCCATCAAGACACACGGCACACACGGCATCAGAGCGGACTTGGAAACACTTAGTCAAATTTTAAGGCATGTATACTACACAAAAATATATAGATGTAGCTAGGTATCTAATGAACGAGATATAACAAAAAAGAAATGTGTGATAGTGAGGGAAACACGAGATTCAGAACGGAAGTATGAGAGAGTGAGAGTGCGGGCGCATGAGCTGGGAGGTAGAGTTAGGGGATTCCGTTTGATCCGGCGTTCGAACGCTGAATGTGTGACAGCAAGGGAGACACAAGCAGTGTAAGAGGGCGGGAGCATGTGCTAGGAGATAACGAACATGTTGGGGGATTCTGTTTGATCCGGCATTCGAACGCTGGACGCGTGACAGCGAGGGACACAACAGCAGTGTGAAGGGCGGGAACATGGACACAGGTGTGTGGGGCTGGCCCGGCCGGGAGATACAACAACAGCCGGTAACAACAGACTACAAAAGAAATTCATAAGTCAGATAGCAACAGCAGCAAAAAAACGCGACAGCAGAAAGCAGCAATGATGATACAAAAATAAGCCGCTAGCGGACAGTATGATAGGAAGGGGAACAACAGCAGCAAACATGTCAGCTATCAGACGCAGAAGCGGTACTACCGCTCTGCGTCATCTGGTGAAATTGAATCTTCAGGCGCCACATCTCTGCCTCCTTGTCAAGCGCAAGGGCCTGGGCCTCGTGCACTCGGACATCTGTCTCGCGAAGGCGGATTTCCGCGTCCTTGGTCTCCTGCTCTCGTTGATGGCTGGCGGCAGCTTGCATGGCCTCATGTGCGCGCGCCTCGCGAAGATACTCGTACTTCTTCGTCTCGCGATGGTAGTCCTTCTTCACATCAAGCTTCGCGAGGAAGCGCTCGTGCTTGAGGTTATGGCGTGATGTGACGTCCAATTGAATACTCCCAATCTCACCATTGACCCTCTCAACCTGCTCCTGAATGTCGGACTTTGCTTTCTTCTTCTTCGACCCTGTGGTCTTCGGTTGCGCTGATATTGAGGTCTGGAGGGTCGGAGACGCAGGAAAATCTGACGATGAAGTGTTGTGAGTCGTCGATGAAGGTGTCGACGAGCTACGAGTCATCCCTGGCGACGACGATGCAATAGACGAAGGTCTGCGTCGTGCGTCGTAGCCAGAGGGCCCCTGAGCGCTGAATGCTGCACGGCTGTCGTAGAAAGGAGTGGGTGACTTCTGCGTGATTGAAAAAGGGATGGGGTGGTTAGGAGGAGGAGACGGCGATGATGGGAGTTGTCGTTTTTTCCCGGCAACCTTTGGAGGGCTGTTAAGGTCATAAGTAGGGTGCGGGGCATCAGTGTCCATATTGTCGTCATCCAAGTGGTCTAGTGCATTGCCCAGAGGGGCACGGAAAGCAGCGGAATATAAGTCGTCGTCGTCGTCGTCGTCGTCAAGATCAGGAACATTGCCCATAGTGGTATCGAAGTCGGCATTTGGAGGTGCCGGAGGAGCAGGAGGAGCAGGAGGAATAGGAAGAGCAGGGAAATGAGGAAAAGCAGGAGTGGGAGCAGTGGGAGGAGCAGAAGGAAAGGGAGCAGGTGAAGGAATGGGAGCAGCGGGAGCAGGCAAAGGAATGGGAGCAGCGGGAGCAGGTGAAGGAACGAGAGCAGCAGGAGCAGCAGGTGCTAGCAGACGAGGATCAATTTGTGAATCAGTAAATGGGCGGCTATGAGGAGGCAGAACATGAGAGGGGGGCTGAGCCCTGGTAGCACCCCTGGTATGTGCGGAGGGGCCAGCCCTGCCACGCGGACGTACTAGCGCGTACATGTCACCAGCATGGTCAACGCCAGGCTTGGACGATGTAGTTTTTGCTGCAAAGGAGGGATTTGAGTGCCAGATGGCGTCGAGTTCCTTGTACCATGGAAATTCGCGACAGACTTCTTCTACAAATTTGAATCGGTCAAACCGCTAAACAAATAAATAAGAATGCTCACCTTGTAGATTTTTAGCGGAGGCGTCATCAAGAGGGACTACACCAGCACCGGTTGCGCTGAATTTAGCCTTAAGGGGCTTATATTTGTTTTTGAGACTAAGGATCTTATCAGCGCATAGTACAAAAAATATAAACATGACATACCTTGTGATACGGTTGTTGACAGAGTCACGAAATTTCTTCTGACTGTTTGCATATTCCAGCCCATATTTTGCGTGATGTTTGAAGATGACCTGAGCAATAACAGAGTAGATCTGAGACTTGTCCTTTCCCGAGGGACGAGCAGAAGAACTTGAATCCAGAGAGGGAGGTGGTTTCTTGCCATCAGAGTAGAATAAGATACGACAGTCGGGAGGGTGTTCGGTGAGCCAGGTGACCAAGACGTCAGTGAGAGTGTCATCACTCTGCCACTGAATCGTCAGCTTGGGTTTTGGATCGGGGGAGGTGGTTGTATTTGAGATGTCGACGGCTCAGGATCCATCGCTCTAGAGCACACTGGAGGGTTGCCTCCAAGTCGTGCAGAACGACGGAGGCGTTGTTGGCGAACAGCAGGCATATTTCGAACTCAGCCATGGTGCCGAGCCTGACTTCCAAATTTGCCGCATGCGGCTGTGCTTGTTTTCAAGCTTTAGCGAGTTTTCTGAAGTGTTCAAAACCTATCGTGAGTAATACTACTATATTTAATCTCAAGAAAAACAAGTGAAATTGGAAGTCTCAGGTGAACTGGCAGAGTAGACTCGGAGTGGTATGCAACAAGTCGGTGAGTGGAGCAGCCAAGCTTGAATTTCAAATTCGAGATAATTGGTAATTGAGTCGATCAAGAGTTGACAAAATAGTCATACTCTATAGTATTTCCAGTTCGTGACTGTCTGGTATCTGTTGACGAAGGCACCGTCACATGTGATCGCCTTCAACGAAAAGATGCAGCAGTGCACAGCCACTGCCACTCCCGTGAAGTTCTACTATCGCTAAGTAATTGTAAATGGCACAAGTCGGGCAATGGGCATACTTGGACGTCAAAACTTGCTGGTACGTCATGTTCCTGATATTCAATGCTGCTTATATTCATGCAAAGATGTCAACCGCAGACTCAACAAGTCCCTTTTTTACTCCATCGACGTACTGCCTAACATCATTAGCAATAAACAAAATGCACTGTTGTACTTGCACAGACTCTATGATCAATCGCGTGTCTGATCTCATCCCTTTTACCATCTTATCGCTAAAATTGACAACTCTCGTCCAGTCCTGCCCACAAGGATGAAAGTCTCAAAGCACTACGCTTGGACATGCAAAGTACCTATTGGTTCAATAGGTCGGTCGAGGGGTGCCTGTTGCATGGCCCAGGCCGGTCACGACGACAAAGACCTCCAGAAATTTTTCGGACCTTGGTATCATGGAATTCGACGACGACATCCATGTCAGTCTTTACTCGATTCTCTACGCTAAATTTCGATCGGCCTGCATATCTCTGGCAAATAATTATATCCTGGTGTTCGCTCGATGCTGTAACAGATGATGAAGTATTAAAATGGATGTGGTTGCTTCAACAACAATGTGTTCACGCGTTACATGGCCCACATCCACTAGTAACCTCCACAAAGTATCCTTGTACGAATTCTACAAGCGTCTGTCCACTGAAAACCACAACTCTGCATGTGTTTGCCAATCGCAAAGCGCAATACTACGACCACAGTGGGGTCCACAAGCGTCTGTCCATTGAAAACATGGGTTTGTCCATCGCAAAGCACAATACCACGACCACAGCAGGGAATCGTATATATACCTACTCTCATACTTACCCAGTACCATCATCCGCTCCAGTTCAATCGTACATTCACCTCACAAGTGGTATCCTCACTCATATTCTTATATAACCAATCATGCCAAAGGTAAGCCCAATCAGGCGCATACTTCGTGCATTGACTTGAAGACTAACTCTCGTAATATTTAGACCTACGCTTGCTCTATCTGCAACCAAGCTTTTCCAAAGTTCGCCGACTGCAAGGCACACGAGGCCATGCATTCACCAGAAAAGTACGTGTTTCTACCCTATGGTATGTAGCTCACCTAACTTACATTCGCTCATGCAGTGCGTACTTCTGCACCTGGGAAGGGTGTAACTTTGTGACATTGCACAAAGCAAGCTTCCATTATCATACTGATGTGCAGTACGTGGTCATTCATCACCATCACCGATTCCGCCTGATCAACAATTCTATTTGATTTCATTTTAGTACGGGCAAGCAACGCTTCGTCTGTCCTCACGATGGCTGTGACTACAGAACTCACACCTCTTCCAACATCACACAACATCGCAAGAAAGAACATGGGTATGTTCCTCGGCCGTGCAGTCGTCGTGGTCCCTCTGCAACGAATTCATCCGGGGCCCAGTCGTCGTCCCAGCCTCCGCCGCCGGCAGAGCCCCTTCCCTTTGGTACACTCCACCAATACCAATACCAACTCCAACCCATGCAACCGCAACCCATGCAATCCTATCCCACCCAATACCAACCCCAATCAACTCAATACCAGCCTCCCCCACCTATCCACAACCAGTCGTTGGAAGTCTTATACGGACCAGCAGGTACCGCACACGACTACACCATGTACACCGGACCTGCGAGGGCCCCCAATGGGTGGACTGAGGGATGCCTGTGTCCTGAGTTGATGCAGAGACGCCCTTCGGAGATGCCAGGGTATGAGTATCGGCGTTATTAGTTTTGCATCATCTCAAGAATCGAACATCACTCTATGTTACTTTTTTCTTTCTTGCTTTCTTTGTGATAGTCGTTCTTTGATTTTTCGTTTATTTGTGCACCATGAGGAACTCTGGGCACCCTTCCACTCGTTTATATGTTTCATTTATCACTTTGCGATGTTTTCCCTGGAGGATAATACATTCTTTTAGTATATGTAATTTGTTCTGAGTTGTGAATGTTCGTCTTCCTCAAGTTTGATTCCAGCGTGATCACCGCTCAGCACTCATTCTCCGTGTAGTTGTAATCGGTCAGTAGGTGCTTTGACACATGGTCAGCAGTTCCAAAGTCCCAATAGATGTTTTACGCATGCATGTGACATTATCATTAGATCGTGATGTAAGCACTGGCGCGAGGACGGCGACCTCTACAGAAAAATGGACTGATCGAGAGTACGGTGTTGTGTAAAATTAGGAGCCTTTGGCTCTACATAACCAATGAATACTGTCACGATCCACGCGTGTGCATGAAGTGCTTTGCTTACACAAAGGGAAGCGAGGGCGCTCACAGCTGCATCAGAGAACAGTTGAGTCTTGTGTTGAAACAGTTCAGTAGAGTCTGATTCGGCTTGTGGGTCAGACCGGTCATTCATAGCCGCAACCGCAGCTCTTTATCGCTGCTTTGCTGATTCGGCCTGAACACCATACCATAGCACTGGCACCATTCTTTACACAAAGTCTGTAAAGAGTCGCATACGCTACGATGAAACGAATCGTTCCAAGTCAGAGCTTCGCCAGACCATCAAAGAATCATTCGGCCAGACTGGAGAAATAGCAACGCAGGCGCTGGAGTGCATAGTTGTCACGATTCTCCGTGTTCTGAGTGAATGTGAGGGCATACTACAGCCAAGTGCAGACGAGCTTCAAGTTGAGTCATCATAAAATTAAAGAAAGGCAAAGTTTGGGCAAAGTGATTCAAATCCTCTGAAGCTCGAGAACAACATTAAGTGCATGGCGTTTTGCGAACAAGCAGCTGAGGTTGAATTTCAAATTCCAGATAGTTGGTAATTGAGTCTCGATCGTCATACTCTAGTACTTCCAGGCCTTTCCATCGTACAGCCCTACCACACAACAAAGCTCAAGCAGCTCAGCATTCACGACAGCCGTTCAAAATATATTCACTCCCTACCCTGCTAGTCAATGCCCCTGCTGAAGTGTGTCAGTGTTCCCCTCAAGTTCCAGTCCAGTCTCGATGCTACGTATACTTATCATGAACCTTTGTTTGTGGCGTAACTGATGAGCGTGTGGTGTTTATAGGGCCTGGAATTTGTGTCCGTGCATGATTCTTACGAGTCCGCACGCTAGCAGCATCGAGAATTTGACGTACATCGTCCCAGACATCTCCATCGTGCTGCATTTCTCAGACATCCTTGAGAATGTAGTTATGGAGGTATGTATCACTTATGCTAGCCCATCGCACCACTGAATGCTTTTCCACAGTTCCGGACCCATCGCTCATCTAACAATTTTCTCAGATTGCTCTGGAGTGGCAGGCTGCTGAAGTGCCTACATGTCGCAGTTTCATCTGAACAGGGCAACCACACTCCATGAAGGTGAGTTCACGTCCTTTGACATCGTCATCTGCGTCTCAGATCTCAGATGTGGAAGCCTCACCCATCGCCCGGACTTTCCAGGAATCAGAGGCTGGGACTGCGAAGCCTGCGCTGGGGAAGCTCGGATGGTCTATCGAGAACTGATGATCTAGAAGGGCAGAATGATGCGGAGCGTGAGGAAGGAGGCAGACAACACTAGCAATTTGCTTCCGGTGGACAAATTTATTGATTTCAGCGGTATGATTTGCACCTCTACCAACAAAAAGTGATTGTGATACGGAGACGAATGGTTTTTAATAAATCTGTGTCTGTCGCCCCATCTTTGTCTTGGTGCGCATATCGACGAAGGGATGTAACCGCGACAGCTGAGCGCAGAACCTTGTCCCCGTGGAACAACCTCCCCTCCCCCAGTCGACATTTAGGTGCTGGTCTCCTAGATGTTTGCATCTCATGCTCATTGTTCCTCACACTTCACAAGCGTCTACCAAGTCAGAGATGGCTGATGATTCAGTATCGATTTCATTGAGATCTTGATATGCCCCACTTCCGCGCATACACTGCCCGCAACTTCCTCTATTCCGAGACTCTAACGCAGCATGCAAGTCATGATTAGGGGACTAATAATTACTGACCAAATCTCTCCAGCATGTTGCTGGCTGCAGTCCTCAACTCCTTCGCAGCAATGATGCTCCCCTTTTGCTGCTCTAAATCGTGCATCTCCTGTCCTATCTCCCGTGGTCGCCACTTCTGTCGTATGGTCCACTCGAATAATCTGACTATGCTATCCACATTTCCGATGAGCTGCTCGAGATCAGATTTCGAAGCAATCTGCATATACCTCTTTGTGCCATCCACAAGGACACGAAGGTGCTTAAAAGAGCGCGCGTCATTAAGGGCATAGGGAGGTTCATACCACGTGGTTTTCATCAGGTCCCACCACTGCTGCTCTGTAACAGAATCGAGCGATGTGACCGATGTCCGTTCAGCTGTGATTAGGAGGAGGATACCAGCTATGTAAAAGGCATGTCCGCTGTAGAGGGGATTGCAGTACTGTGGGATCATACTGATGCACCGATTGACATGGCGATCCGCAAACAAATAGGGGTGCCAGTCGGAATTCCTCACAAGGGCATGGACCAGTTCGAGGTAGCACAAGTCGCGGTCATCATCGAAAAAGAGGTCGAGATCATCATTTGCGGGTGTTGTACCTGGGTGCGGACAAAGCACGGACAGAATAGCAGGAGAGAGCTTGGTCAAAATAATGTCCCGTAGCGTCGAATCACCAATGGCATCAATCAAGGCGATTTGTTCTCGGGCGCTGTGAGCAGCACGAAGAGCGGCATGGCGTAAATGGAGAGGCATGTTACTATCCATGCAGGTGACGAGCTTCTCGATGAACAGATGTTGTTTAGCGGGGCTGCAAAACACTCCCATACTACCCAGTAGCAAAAGGACGTCATATGCCGCTTCGTGGTCGTCGGAATAAATGAAGTCGAGGTAGTCTACAAGCCAGTCAAAGTCTCCTGGCGAGTGGGAATCGCGTCCGACAACCCAGTGGGCTGACCACAGCTCGGCAGGGTTCCAAGAAACACGAGAAGCAGCGAACGTGAAGTGCAGTACCTTTTGCAGCACTGCCAAAGAAACCGAGGCATCATTTTGTTCGGATGACCTTGCTTGTAAGTAAATCTTCCTGCACATGTCCAGGTTCCACATGATGTGGAATGAAGGATTAAAGGTATCTTTGACAAACTCGAGGATGGGACAAATGATATCGAGAAGCTTCCATGCCCAACGTGCGACTCCTGTGCCATTTTTGTCGAGCTCGCCTCCATCCCATGGCCGGAGAGCGTTTGGGAACTGCGCCAAAAGAGACGCCTTGAGTTGGTCCAGAGCAGAACTACACCGTCTCTTTGTCATTCATGGCAGAAAAATTACAAAATGAGTCAATGGCACCTTTTATCAATCCGAACTATGTCTTTCTTGTCAACTTGAGCCCCGACCATGATGCAAGCAAGAAGAATGCAATTGGCTAGGATTTGATTCGACGGAGAGGATGGGGATGATAGGAATTTTGACATCACTTGTATCGCGAGGTCTTCTACGTCTTTATTCACTCGCCCAGTTACAAAATAATAAGGAAGAAGATGTGACAGCCGCTCATAGATGGAGTCAGGGCAAGCCTCTGATAAATGAATACTCCGCGTATTGATTTCTGGACGACAAAAATTTAGAGTCGCATCGACCATCATTCGGTAGGCTCTGGGCATGATGTCGTAAATCCTAAAAAACACATCGAAGTCCCGTTCCTCGCGAGTAATAAATTCGCCACGGTCAGGATGTGCCCGAAGGACACATCCATAGTATAGATGATTTAGGGCCATTACACATGCCAATGCCTTCTCCTCCAAAGACGGTATGATGTACCACCGGTGGTCGATGCAACTCTTATAAATATCATACAGCTGATGCAGCATGTCTGAAACATCAAGATCCAGGGGCCATTCGACCTGTGGGACAAGACTGACAGCAGCAAGAAATACTTCAGGATCCGTAGATGTCTCAAGTAGCCACTTGACGCTAGGCGCTTCGAGATCGCTGGTGGGCATGTCAGGGAGGTAGAGATCAAGGGTGCCTTCATTCTCCACGAAAGCATCCAGATCCTGGTCGAGCAGTTGCGCTTCTGAGTCCACGACATTTGTTGCAGAATGCAGAGCCAAAGAACGCAGCCGGCTATGAAGCCTGGTGATGAATTGCCGAAGAGATCGTGTGCATGTAACTATTGCAAGTACAGGGCCTAGGGAGTGAATGAGCACTGAATGTATCTTTGTAATAGTAGATAAGATCGTCACCTCTAGATACTTGAGACAGTCGGATCCATCCCGATCTGACGATACTAAACAACCGTTTGACCACGCCTGATATGAAACGGTCAAAACCTGTGCACATGGAAGAAGACATAACTCACTGTACAGTAACGTCGTGGGCCGCTGGAAATAACAGGAAACTCGTTTGAATACCAGGTGTAGAACCCCTGTAATGTCAATTCAGATAGGGAACGATCACCAGAATTAGGTAAAATGATCTTACTGTCAATGCGCAAAATGTGTAATATCGTCGATATTGGTGTCTGAAATGGACAGGCGGAAGATATCAAACAACCCATCACAGTCAGGGAATAAAACAGAAATCCGAAGACCGTCGTTCCGATGACGACCCAGGCGATGCTCGCCTGCTCGTACCACAAATGGGCGCCAAGAGAGATCCCAAACAGAAGAAGAGAGATCTGAAGTAAGACTGGAAACGATTGCACGACAGTATCAAAATACCATGTGATGATGCCGTCGAACTGCTCTTGCCTGCGCTTTGCTTGTTCCTCCAGCGAACCACGACCATATCTGTGCGACTTGTAGTACCCTAGCCACTGCATTCCCAGCACGGCCCCGAATGCAGCAAGCAAGCTCATGGACAAACTCGCATATGCGATCGTTTGGACCCATAAGGTCGACGCGGTCGGAGACCACGTAGATGCTGGGTCTACGGGAGTGGAGCCTGCCTCAGCGAGATTGCCGAGTCCGATCTGCACGAGTTGCTTCAAAAGTGCATTCGTGGTGTCACTAGGGTCGGGACTGAAATCGGACTCCATCGCGACAATGAAAGACGTGCCGACAGCGGAGAAAAGACCAGACTGGTCGAACATCAGTCTCGAAACGGAAAACGGAACACAGATAAGCAGGCTGAACTTACGAAGATCAGGACGATGTTCATGTCGCTAGTGTATCGCTCGAGGAACTCGCTGTCGTGCTCCTCCGCGACTCTTCTGTACACCCTCCAGAAACGAGACCGTTCGTCCTTTCCACTCTTCGACGCAATTGTCGAGTCCTTGAGAACATTCAATACTTCCTTCATGGTATTTGCTCTGCGTGTAGGGCGTGGTCAGCTGTGATCTCGTGGCTGCAAGTTTTTGGCTCACAATTCGCTCAGAGTCGGCTCATCCTTCTCTGGCACGACCTTTTTCGCCTCGCTGAGACAATTGAGCAGCATATTTGACATCATTATTGACAAGAACTTACGTTGCTAAATCACTGACTAATGAAACATTGGATGTATTTTGCTGTACCAGAAGTCCTGACGGCCGTGAAGGTCCAGCATTTGAGCTGCAGTTCTAGTGAGGAATAGCTCAAGCGCCCATCAGGGAAGAAACACATACATCCCTGATGGCAGCTCTGCCAAAGGTTCAACATTGATATTCTCCCTGTCTTTCTGTTAGACGGGTGACAGATTCCAGGAAGCTGCAACTCACTCCTCGATGGGTCCTACGACATCCTTTTGCGGGAGAATTTGCTCGTCGTTGTGGGTGCGTTCATCCTCGGCGTCGTCGGTGGCTGATGCTTGTGACATGAAGAAGTTATAGGTACTATATTGGATTCCAAGAAAAGCTAGTGAAATTGGGAAGAGTCTGAGATAAGCGGACAGAGTAGACTTGGAGTGGAACGCAGCAAGTCGTTTAGGCGGCTACCACTCAAACTATGACCAACACGTGCCTGCGAGCGTTGACGCCGAAAGTTTTTGTGAGAGCTCCCTGCAGTGAACTGAGACCTTACCATCATGATGGTGATAGATCCTTCTGGGCCCGGTCTTTATGCATGGCACTCCATTGAAGTAGATCAAGCTGACATGTGGATATTTTATTGGGCCATCTACGCTCATATAAGTCGAGCTCGATGCATTTCTGAAAGGGTGTGCACTGAGAGCTCTGTTTATACTGGACGTTACGAACGACTCCTCGTGATAATGCAATGACCCCGAAATGCCGATTGAGTTTTCTTGGAGGATTTCGTCAAGGAAGGGCAGCTTTATCATGACATTGGCAAGGTGTCAAATTTAGATTCAAAGGTATGATGATGGGGCAGCAACGGTACGATCACGTGATCAGTCTAAGATCAAGTTGACTTTGAGCATGGCATGCGGTCGTCGCTCTCCTTCTCTAGAACCACCTGGCCCTCATCAACCGCGAATACGTACTAACGAAATTCACCTCTAGGTCATACACAGACCCGCTTCTGCGTTAAAAGAGCTGCCGGAAAACAGCCTTGACGCCGGGTCTCCTTCCATTCAAGTCACCGTCAAGGATAGCGGTATGAAGCTGCTTCATATTCAGGACAACAGCTGTGGCATTCGTGTGCGTCTTCCTCACATTCGCATGAGGGCATTCCATTGAGCTTGTTTGAAGAAAGAGGACTTACCCTTGCTTGCTGAGCGCTTTACTTTACTACTCGAGTAAAGATCACTACGACGGCCGGCGTTTTGCGAAGAAAGGTTTAAAAGTGCCCGAAAGCGGCACCATTCATACGCTTTGGGCTCCTGCACCGTGCTGTCGAGCTTGCAAGCAATCTGGGAGTATGTCGCATTCAGGAATGCACCCTAGGAGATAGGAAATATGATGAGGGTGTTGCGTTTCCTTATGAGCGCGATGGAGGACGCAAAGATTTACACCACGGAGGCTCCCCCAGATGCAAGACACATAAAGAACGTGTTATACTGGTACATCTACCTCACTCTTACTATCAAGGGACCAGAGACGCCAGCAGACAGGTATGCTCACCGGCTTTGGCATTCAATGACCTCTCTACAACCGAGCGCAGGTCGCATTCAAGAAGTTGGAGTATGCTGACGAATTTAGCATACTTCTGGGCATTTTTGTCCCGAGAATACAGTTGCGCCTGGCCCAGCAAACCATTGTTAAGCGCTACCCCACTGCTGTGCAAGAGTGGAGGATTTGATTGCGCGCTTTGACGAGGTGATGACGGATGAGCGCCCCATCTCATTAAAGCAAGCTGAAGATGATCTTGCCGCATGGCTTGACGACCTCCATCTTGATCACAGAGAGGAAGACGAGCCTCACCCGCAGAGATGCTCACACTCACGAGTCAGTCCGAACACTGGTGTTGTACAGATGTTCGTGGTGTAGCAATCGCAGTGCTGCACTGAGGATGTGCAGTGGTTGCGAGAAAGCGAGGTAACTAATTCATTCACTCCTGTCATAGGCAGATGATTGTCCATGATTTTTCAGGTATTGCGATGCTGGATACCAAAAGTCGCATTGGTTGGAGCATAAGGTCATGTGCAGGACTTGAATGGCCTGAAATATCTCATTCTTGCTGTCGTACCAGTTTGCGATGGCTCTTAATCCTGATGCCCGTTAGTCCAAGTTCTCAACCTATCTTGGCCCTCTCTGATTACCTTCCCCAGCCCATCTGCGATGTGCGGGTAGGTACTTATGACCACTCTTGATGTTCCTGTATTGGTACAGTAAAATATGTATTATGCTACACACGATTCGACTGCAATAACAACATTTCCTCGTACTTCGCCTTTTATTCAACTTGCTCGATTCGTACGCTTCCTCTTTCCTGTCCTGAACTCTTCGAAAAGTTCATCTTTTCTAAGTAGCCACCTCCGCGTCGGTTAGCGCTCGTCCTTGACATCACTCGACGTGACATGCGTGCACCAGTCCATTGCGGATTTATCCAGTGGTAATCTTCTTGGCCTTCTGAGTCGGTATGTCCACCAATGATGCGAGGCTTGCGAGGACCTGGAGGTTTCCGTGTGGCAGCTTTCTGTGATGCAGGTTGTATCGGATCTGCTGAACTCGATGCCGATGCATTCACATCGGCGGTTGAAGACAGAGTCAGGGGCTGATGCAGCAGCTGACGGCAACCCTGATGGATCCCATCGCGGCCACTTCTTCACTTCCTCCAAGTCCTCAGGGACTTCGACCACTTCTCTTGACATCACTAAGCACGCTGTAAGAAGGAACGAGAGTGGACGGACATACATGATATTCTTCCCTGCGAAAAGGTAACATTTCTAGATCTTGATGAGCTTCTTTGGCGGCTCCTCGACCTTTGGAGACGGTGGCGTAGCGACAGACGCCTGGAAACTGGCCCATAGAGCATCGTGCGCTCTGTAGAGCAGGATAAGTATACGTATACTTGACCTATAGGGTCACCCGACATACCTCACTTTTTCTTCTCAACTAGATCTTCCTCTTATTGAGAGTATAGCAGGGCGTTCACGCGAGGCTAGACAGGTAAGATCTCAGTATTCGGATTACGAATCTCTTTATTGACAAGTGTTTTTACCTAGACAGGTAAGCTACGGTATACGTTAGTACTTGTACTCAAACGTTACATTAGAAGACTTACATCTCAGTATTCGGATTACGAATCTGAGATGTTTCGATGGTGGATGGCTGCTTTTATATGGTGAGTGCGCCAGCTGGCCTTTTGATGAAAACATATACTAAAGGAATGAAAAAAGATAGCCGACGTTGACACGTCGTCTGGAATCTCCGTTTGGTGGCGCTCGCACCTCGAGCTGCCTTACTCTTCGGCCGTAGTCCCATATCCTCCTCTATCGGCCTTTCCGTCCTCGGGTTCTTCGGCTCTCAACACCTCTTTCACTTCATTTGTCACATTCGTATCATCTTTTCCTTCTTCGTCTCCCTAAGAGCTATCCGAGCCTGTTTGGTTTGTCAGACAAGACGATTTTTGATGAGATACTTAACCTGTCATCACACCTTGGTGTACACGTGTTCGGTGGGCGCCTAGTCTGGATCATCGTCTTCGGTTTCAGATGTTGGGTCGCGTAGTGCAGGAGACATTGTGTGGTGTTGTTTGATGTTGAAGGTGTTGAGGAACGGTCGTCAACGAACGTCAATTGGCAGTACTTTAAACTCTTCATTAACATGGCTATGTGGCGGCTAAGTAAGAGTCATGTGTGCAGCTTCAGCAGCTGATCTCACTTAATTGCGTACATATACCAGCACTGCTTTTTCTATTGACTGAAGTTGACTCGGACAACCTGGTTTTTCTGACTAGATCAACTCTCACTCGACCACGGTGTATGAGGTTTCTTTGATATTCCCACAAAGTACTGAAACGATGGTTGAATAGCCAGGTGCCTCGATAACATGATCAAAACTCGAAAACAACGAATTCGAACTGATGCTGTTCCGAATGAATTTGAGAGCACTGTACTGTGAAACTGCGTCTTGCTTCGCAGGAGAGCAGTGAGTAAGTAGATATGAACAACAGCCGAGTGCAGATGACGTCCGAATCTAGATTTCGATCGGACGTCTATATCAAATGATGCGAGAACCCACTGGCACAGCATGAGATCGGTGTCAGGTACACAATTCAAATTCCAGATAATTGATACACTATACTCTCTCGTAATGCCCTACCACACAACAAAGCTCAAAAGCTCGGCACTCATGACAGCCATTCAAAATCTATTTGTTCCCTACTCGAGTCAATGCGGCTGCTGAAGTGCGTCAGGGTTTCCCTCAAGTTCCTGTCCAATTTGGTTCAGTCTCGATGCTACGTATACTTATCATGAATCTTTGTATGTGGCGTAACTGATGAGTGTGTGGTATTTATAGGGCCTGGAATTTGTGTCCGTGCATGATTCTTAAGTCCGCATGCTATCAGCATCGAGAATTTGACGTACATCATCCCAGACACCTCCATCGCGCCTCATTTCTCGGACGTCCTTGAGAAAGTAGTTATGGAAGTATGTATCACTCATGCTAGTCGATCGCACCACTGAATCCTTCGCCACAGTTCCAGACCCAACACTCATTCAACAATTCTCTCGCATCGCTCTCCATTGGCCGACTGCTGAAGGGACGTATCGCAGTTTCATCTGAACAGGACAGCACTGATTCACTTCCAGTGGTCCACTTTATTGATTTCAGCGCTATTATTTACACCTCTGCCAAAAAAAAGCGATTGTAATATGGAGACGAATGGTTTTTAATACGTCGGCGTTTGTCGCCCCATCTTTGTCTTCATGTGCATATCGATGAAGGGATGTGACCGGGATAGCAGAACGCAGAACATTGTCCCCGTGGAACAACCTCCCCTCCCCCAGTCGACGTTTAGATGCTGGTCATGCCGTTGTTCCTCACGCTTGACAAGCGTGACTGCGAAGCCTACGCTAGGGAAACTCGGATGGTCTATCGGGAACTGATGATCTCGAAGGGCAGAATGACGCGGAGCGTGAGGAAGGAGACAGATGGCGCTGACTAGGACAACACTCATTCGCTTTCGGTGGATAAATTCATTGATTTCAGCGCTATGATTTACACCTCTGCGAAAAAAGGCGATTGTAATAAGCAGACGAATGGTTTTTAATAAGTCTGTGTCTGTCACCCCATCTTTGTCTTCGTGTGCATATCGACGAATGGATGTGACTGGCAGCTGAGCGCAGAACCTCGTCCCCATGGAACAACCTCCCCTCCCCCAGTCAACATTCAGATGCTGATCTCCTAGATATTTGCATCTGAGTCATGCCCATTGTTCCTCACGCTTGACAAGTATCTACCGAGTCAGAGATGGCTGATGATTCAGTATCGATTTCGTGAGGTTTTGATACTCCCCACTTCCATGCATACACTGCCCATAGCTTTCTCTATTCCAAGACTCTAACGCAGCATGCAAGACATGATTAGGGGACTGATGATTACTGACCAAAGCTCTCCACCATGTTGCTGGCTGCAGTCCTCAACTCCTTCGCAGCAGCGATGACCCCCTCTCCCTGCTCTGAATCTTGTATCTCCTGTCCTATCTCGTGTAGCTGCCTCTTCTGTCGTATGTCCCCCTCCAGTTCTTCGATAAACTGATCCACATTTTCAATGAGCTGCTCGAGATCAGATTTCGAAGCAATCTGCATATACTTCTTTGTGCCATCCACAAGAACAAGAAGGAGCTTGAGATAGCGTGTATCGTCAGTGTGAACAGAATACCCCCATGCGCTTCTCATCACGTCCCACCACTGTTGCTCTGTAACAGAATCGAGCGATGTATCCGATGTCTGTTCGGGTGTGATTTGGAGGAGGATACCAGCTACGAAAAATGCATGCCCGTAGTACCTCGATTTGCAGTACTGTGGAATCATGCTAATGCACCGATCAATATGGGGATACCAAAACAAATGGGGGTGCCAGTCAGAATTCCTCGCGAGGGTAAAGACTAGTCTGAGATAGCACAAGTCGCGGCCATAATTGAAAAAGAGGTTGGGATCATCATTCGCGGGTGTTGTACCTGGGTGTGGACAAAGCACGGACAGAATAGCGGGAGAGAGCTTGGTCAAAATCATGTCCCATAGCGTCGAATCATCAATGGCATCAATCGAGGCAATTTGTTCTCGGGCATTGTGAGCAGCACGAAGAGCGGCATGGCGTAAATGGAGAGGCATGTTACTGTCCATGCAGGCGATGAGCCTCTCGACGAACAGATGTCGTTTAGCGGGGCTGCAGCACACCCCCATACTACCCAGTAGCAAAAGGATGTCATATGCTGATTCGTAGTCGTCGGAATAAATGAAGTCAAGATAGTCTACAAGCCAGTCAAAGTCTTCTGGCGAGTGGGATCCATTTCCCCACCAATGCGGATCCCACACTTTGGCAGGGTCACGGGATACCTTGACAGCAGCCAAAGTGAAGTGCAGTGCATTTCGTGGAGCTGCCAACGAAACCGAGGCATTGGACGACCTCGCTCGTGAATAAATCTTCCTGCACATGTCCAGGTTCCGCATGGTGCCGGATGCAAGAAGAAGGTGGGGACCGGCAAGCTCGAGCATGCGCCAAATGATATCGAAGAGCTTCCGTGCCCAGCGTGCGACTCCTGTCCTATCTTTGTCGAGCTCTCCATCCCATGCCCAGAGAGCCTTTTGGAACCGCGCCAAAAGGGACCTACTGAGTCGAGGTAGAGCAGAACTGCACGATCTCTTCGTTAATCATGACAGAAAAACTACAAAATGAGCCGATGGTACCTTTTATCAATCCGAACTATGTCTTTCTTGTCAACTTGAGCCCCAACCATGACGCAAGCAAGAAGAATGCAATTGGCTAGGATTTGATTCGACGGAGGGGATGGGGATGAGGATGAGGACGATAGCAATTTTGATATCACTGTTATCGCGAGGTTTTCTATGTTTTCATTCACTCGCCCAGTTACAAAGTGATAAGGAAGAAGATGTGACAGCCGCTCATAGATGGAGTCAGGACAAGCCTCTGAGATATCAATAGTCCAGCCATTGCTATCTGGATCACAAAAATTTACAGTCATATCAAGCACCGTTTGGTCAGCTGTGTCCATGCGCCGGCGAATCTGATAAAACACATTGACATCTTGTCCCTTGCGAATGATAAATTCGCCACGGTCAGGGTATGCCTGAAGAACACGTCCATAGTATAGGTGAGTTAGAGCCGTTGCACATGCCGAAGCCTTCTCCTCCAAAGACGGTACGATGTGGTCCTGAATGTCGACGCAAGTCGTAAGAATCTCAACCAGCTGGTGCAACATGTCTGAAACATCAAGGTCCAGAGGCCATTCAACCTGCGGGACAAGCCTGGCAGCAGCGAGAAATACTTCAGGATCCGTAGATGTCTCGAGCAGCCACTTGACGCTAGGCGCTTCGAGATCGCCGGTGAGTATGTCAGGGAGGTGGAGGTTACGGGTGTCATCATTGTCCGCCAAAACATCCACATCCTGGCCAAGCGGTTGTGCCTCGGAGTCCACGACTTTTCTTGAAGAACGCAGAACCAAAGAACGCAGCCGGTTATGAAGCCTGGTGATGAACTGTCGAAAAGATCGTGTGAATGTACCTATCGCAAGTACAGGCCCTAGGGAGTGAATGAGCACTGAGTGTATCTTTGTAATAGTGTAGTGGCTAAGATCGTCACCTCTAGATACTTCAGACAGTCGGGTCCATCCCGATCTGACGATACTAAATAATGGTTTGAGCACGCCTGACATGAAACGGTCAGAACCTGTCCACATAGAAGAAGACATAACTCACTGTGCAGTAACGTCGTGGCCCGCTGGAAATAACAGAAAACTCGTTTGAATACCTGGTGTAGAACCCCTGCAATGTTGATTCAGATGGGGAACCACCACTAGAATACGGCAAAATGATCTTACTGTCGACGTGCAACACGTGTAATAGCATTGATATCGGTGTCTGAAATGGGCAAGTGGTAGATATCAAACAAGCCATCACAGTCAGGGAATAAAATAAAAATCCGAAGACCGTCGTTGCGATGAGGACCCAGGCGACGCTCGCCTGCTCGTACCACAGATGGGCGCCAAGAGAGATCCCAAACAGAAGAAGAGAGATCTGAAGTAAGACCGGAAACGATTGCACCACAGCATCAAAATACCATGTCACAATGCCGTCGAACTGCTCTTGCCGGCGCTTCCCTTGCTGCTCCTGCGAGCCGCGGCCATATCTCTTCGACTTGTAGTACCCTAGCCACTGCATTCCCAGCACCGCCCCAAATGCAGCGAGCAAGCTCATAGACAAACTCGCATATGCGATCGTTTGGACCCATAAGGTCGACGCAGTCGGAGACCACCCAGATGCTGGGTCTACGGGAGCGGAGCCTGCCTCAGCGAGATTGCCGAGTCCGATCTGCACGAGTTGCTTCAAAAGTGCATTTGTGGTGTCGCTGGGGTCGGGACTGAAATCGGACTCCATCGCGACAATGAAAGACGTGCCGACAGCGGAGAAAAGACCAGACTGGTTGAACATCAGTCTCGAAACGGAATACAGATAAGCAGGCTGACTTACGAAGATCAGGACGATGTTCATGTCGCTAGTGTATCGCTCGAGGAACTCGCTGTCGTGTTCCTCCGCGACTCTTTTGTACACCCTCCAGAAACGAGACCGTTCGTCCTTTCCACTCTTCGACGCAATCGTCGAGTCCTTGAGAACCTCCAACACTTCCGTCATGATATTTGCTCTGCGTGTAGGGCGTGGTCAGCTGCGATCACTTGGCTTAGAGTTTTTGGCTCACAAATCCCTTAGAGTCGGCTCGTCCTTCTCTGTCACAACCTTTTTCACCTCGCTGAGATAATTGAGCAGCATATTTGACATCATCATTGACAAGAACTTACATTGATAAATCACTGACTAATGAAACATTGGATGTATTTTGCTGTATCAGAAGTCCCGATGGCCGTGAAGGTCCAGCATTTGAGCTGCAGTTCTAGTAAGGAGTAGCTCAGGCGCCCATCAGGGAAGAAACACATACATCCCTGATGGCGGCTCTGCCAAAGGTTCAACATTGATATTCTCCCTGTCTTTCTGTTAGACAGGTGACAGATTCCAGAAACCTGCAACTCACTCCTTGATGAGTCCTACGACATCCTTTTGCGGGAAAAGTTGCTCGTCATTGTGGGTGCGTTGATCCTCGGCTTCGTCGGCGCCTGATGCTTGTGACATGAAGAAGTTATAGGTACTATGTTGGAATTGGATTCCAAGAAAAGCTAGTGAAGTTTGGAAGAGTCTCAGGTGAGCGGACAGAGCAACTCGAGAGATGATTAACAGCAAGTCGTTTAGGCGGCTATCCCTCGAACCATGACCAACACGTGCTTGCGAGCGTTGACGCCGAAAGTTTTCGTGAGAGCTCCCTGCAGTGAACTGAGACCTTACCATCATGGTGGTGATAGATCCTTCTAGGCCCGGTCTTTATGCATGGCACTCCATTGAAGTCGATCAAGCTGACAAGTGGATATTTTATTGGGCCATCTACGCTCACATAAGATGAGCTCAATGCATTTCTGAAAGGGTGTGCACTGAGAGCTCTGTTTATACTGGACGTTACGAACGACTCCTCGTGATGATGTAATGACCCCGAAATGCTGATTGAGTTTTCTTGGAGAGGATTTCGTCAAGAAAGGGCAGGTTCATCATGACATCGGTTTAAGGTGTCAAATTTAGATTCAAAGGCATGATGACGGTGAAAGTTGGGCAGCAACGGTACGATCACGTGATCAGTCTAAGATCAAGTTGACATGGCAAGCGGTCATCGCTCTCCTTCTCTAGAACCACCTGGCCCTCATCACCCGCGAATACGTACTGATGAAATTCACCTCTAGGTCATACACAGACCCGCTTCTGCGTTAAGAGAGCTGTTGTAAAACAGCCTTGATGCCGGGTCTACTTCCATTCAAGTGACCGTCAAGGATGGCGGTATGAAGCTGCTTCATATTCAGGACAACAGCTGTGGCATTCATGTATGTCTTCCTCACATTCGCATGAGGGCATTTTATTGAGCTTGTTTGAAGAAAGAGGACTTACCCTTGCTTACTGAGCGCTTTACTACCTTGGGTCAAGACCGCTACGAAGGCTGGCGTTTTGCGATGAAAGGTTCAAAGTGCCCGAAAATGACGCCGTTCGTACGCTTTGGGCTCCTGTACCGTGCTGTCGAGCTCACAGGCAATCTGGGAGTATGTCGTATTCAGGAATCCAGCCCAGGAGATAGGAAATATGATGAGGGTGTTGTGTTCCTTATGAGTGCGATGGAGGACGCAAAGATTTACACCACGGAGGCTCCCCAACGATGCAAGATACATGAAGAACGTGTTATACTGGTACATCTGCCTCACTCTTACTATCAAGGGACCAGAGACACCAGCGGACCTTAAAGAGCTTCAGGTATATTCACCGGCTTTGAATTCGACGATCTCTCTACGACCAAACGCAGGTCGCATCTCAAGAAGTTGGGGTATACCGAAGAATTTAGTGTACTTCTGAGCACTGTTTCCCCGAGAACACAGTTGCACCTGACCCAGCAAAACATCCTTAAGCGCTACCCCACTGCTGTGCAAGAGTGGAATGATCTGATTGCGCGCTTTGACGAGGTGATGACGGATGAGCGCCCCATCTCATTAGAGCAAGCTGAATATGATCTTGCTGCATGGCTTGACGAACTCCATCTTGATCACGGAGAGGAAGACGAGCCTTACCCACAGAGATGCTCACACCCACGAGTCAGTCCGAACACTGACGTTGTGCAGATGTTCATGGTGAAGCAATCTCAGTGCTGCACCGAGGAAGTGCAGTGGTTGCGAAAGAGCGAGGTAACTGATTCATTCACTCTTGTCGTAGGCAGATGATTGACCAATGATTTTTCAGGTATTGCGATACTGGATGCCAACATCAGAGAACCTGTGAACAAATGAGAATGATATTTAAAGTAATATATTGTTAAGCATCGCAACAATCAGCGTAAATTTGCCACCCGCTTTCACATGGGAATGTTTGGCATTGTCGAGGAAAGACTAATTTGCAAGTACACGGGCCTGGCAGCCCTATTTGCCTCGAGGACTTTTTCACTGGCACGGGTCTAGGAGACAATGTACTCGCACAGGTTCATGCATTGGAATATGAGCCTGGTTTGAGAAGGACAAGGAAGGAGGTTGCAGCATGCAGAACTACGAGACACTCGGGCGATGCTCATCAGTGAAGAGAACGGTGTCATTTGGTCTTTGCACAATGTATTTTTTCTCGCTGCGGATGACTACCGAATGAGCGAGTAACTTGCTCTGGTAAAAAGTGTGAGTAACAGTAGACATTAATTCTCAACGAATAGTTTGTCTGTATTGATCGAATGTTCGACGAGTGTCGCGTTGAGTGGTATATTGCATAGAATAGCGACAATGTTCTGAGTTGTGTTCAAGTAGGTATCACTGCTCGATGGACGCCGAGTTGCAATGACATAGAAGGACCGGAGTCGCGCACGCAAAATGTTTGTTGGTAAACTGTTGCACAGAACCATGCATTATACGGAGCGCGAATACAGTTCCGAGGTATGTGAGAGTACACACGATTTCTCAATGCATAGATTTCCCAGTCTGACGCTGAAAAGCAATATTATTGTGCAATGGAAACTTACTGGAACACAATACTGCATCAGATCATCCCTTGGGACAAAATCAAAAGCATACATTTTTGATGGAGTGCACAGAATTTGCGGTTGTGACCGCGTTTGGCGATCATTCGAACCTCGGTGTAACGCTGCAAGCATGCGCCGTGGCAGTGCTAAATTGTAATCTCACACAATTATTGTCATCTTTGCTATTTGAATGCTTCTAGCCTTTCTAGCCGAAGCATCTGAAAGATCTTGTGGACTACTCAAACACCTTGAGTTCATAGCGGTGGGTGATGCTTAACTTTGATGTCTCACTTGCCAATCAACGAGCTCCTTAGGTGTTTCGTCACTGCTCAATTGCTTTTGCGTTTGTCCTACTTTGCGGGACGCTTTTTGATGTTGGACTTCGCTCGAGACTTTATAGCGGCGAGTGATGCTTCACCCTGATGCTGCACTTGTCTCTCATAGATAATTTCTTCGGTTAAAATCTAGAGTATACAATTTTATCCGAGTTGAAACAGTTCACGATCGTAACAATATAATTGTAAATGATTCAATCATTACCATTTTCACAATCTAAACCCTTCTGACCCCCCTAGCCCAGAACTTCTGAAGATCCTGTAGACTACTCAGCTACCTCATGGGTGCCTCAAAGCACGCGAGCACCAATTCATACATTGCTTCAAATCTTTATGTGAGCTTCTGTGAATATCCCATACCGCGACGGTTGTATTTACTTGCGACGCATCCAAAATAGGTGGTAGCGTCGTGCGGACGCTGTGCCTTTGTGATGTAGTACCTTGGCTCAAGAGTTCATATCAGTGAGTCAAAGCTTCGTCTTGGTACCTACTCGCCATTCAACGAGTGTTGTGTCCTGCTCGGAATTTTGGCACCAAAGTTTTTGTTTGGCACCGTTGAGTGTTTGTGACGAGTTATCGGCGCGACATTGAAAAACGTAGAGATCCCGAAGGTTGTGGTTTGTTTCTTGAATCAAGCCTATCAAAAACAAGCAGAGGTGTTTGAGTACTAGAGCTTGAGCGGTGTGCTGGAGATTGGTCATAATTATAACAGCCAGTTAACGTGCAACCGAAAAACACAACCATTTTGCTCTATCACCACAGACCCGTTCACTTGTAATTCTCATCACACGTATACAAAACAATCAAAGAAGGCCTTGGGTGAGCCGAGAAGCATTAGTGTGCATTTCCTGTAACATAACAGTCACCAGCAAAGTAAATGGAATTGCCAAAATTGCCAATCATACGTAGTGTTATACCTTGTTACACATATGTAGTATTCAGTCGTATTGAACAACAAGGTGGCCAATTCGTCAATGTTGAGAGGTCACATTCATTCATTAACATGATTACAACGAAATCCTAACAAGTAGTAGGGAGATGATAGGGAACTGGACTGAAGCGCCAGGCAAAAGGATTAAAGAAAAGGCTATGTAGTAGAGAGTGAGAGAGTGACACAAGCAGACAACATTATCGAACAACTATCAGTCAGAATCTAATTCGGCGTCCTCCATCTGCTGTCTCTGGGTAGCGAGAGTATTGACGGACATGAGAGATATAACGTCCGGCGTCAAGTCCTGCCGATGGTTTCGTCCGAAAACTTTTCTGTGCAAGAAGTTAGTGATCAGAGTGACTCAATTGATGACATCGATGACTTACCTGGTCCACCACTCGAGAAGTTTGTTCACCCGGGCTCGCGCAGCTGGACCCGGGGCGTCTTCAAAGAAATCTACGATATTGTTCCAGAAAATATGATAGTCGAAGTCTCCGTCCACTGTGCGCCAGGAGGTGAGGTTGGAAAGTGCAAAGCGAATCTGCAGAATTCATTCAGCTTCACAACTAATAGAGATAGGCGGGAATTTGTGTTGATGCTTACTTGGCAAGTTGCATAGGCGATTGCGCGGGGAGTTACCTTTCTCATACCTATGATAGAGGCAACACAAGTCTTCACTTTAGCCTGATCAGATCGTCTTCGCGCGCGCCGGTTGTTCTCGATAATGTCGGCACCCTCACCCTCACCATCCACTTCATTGGCGGATGAGGGAGATGTAAAGATGGCCTTTAATCCCTGCGATACGATGAGCTATGAATCAGTTTTCCAGGGCAAAAACATTAAGACCGCTCACCATAACCAGCAGCCTCGACTTGAAAAGACCGCGTTCTAAATTCTCGGTGTCAGCTTCATAATTTTCATACACGAATGACGGCCATGAATTCTCGGAAACGATATAAGCGGTCGTACGGTCACGAATGCCAGCCTTAACGCTAGAGGAAATATCAACATCATGTAAGTGACGGACTTGGATCACCACATACATTGGGTCCTCCCAGCGCCATTCTGCTGGGCAGAGCAGTTTACCGCAAGCATCACTCGTAAAACCTCGGTGGTGCTTGTCATCGGTCCTGATGAGCGGAGTCAGACAACACTCCATATTCACCCACGATGCAACGAGGTCTTTGAGAGTTCCTGTGTCATCGCCACGAGCTGAGTCCGCACCTCGCTTGAGCTACATTTAAATGAGTGAAATGAGCAAGACGTGTAACAAAATGTTTTGAAGAACCTTTCTTAGCATGCCTTCTGTTTCTTCATGATCGAAACCTGCCAGCTTCTCGTGAACCCAAGATAGTGCCTTAGCGAGTTCGATATAGCCACGTTGAAGGCGGTCTTGTCTGTTCACTTTGGTAAACAAGCGCAGCAACTTGCATAAATCTACTTACTCCGGAGTGGTGTCTCTGTCGTTTTCTTCTTCACAACGCCGGTCGTTTTCGGCAATAAGATCCTCTATGGGAGTATAAAGGTCAACCATACGACGGATTGCCCGTCCCTGCGAGACGTAATAAGTTATGTTCCTACAATGAGGCATAAGTTAGTTCCAATTTTACAAGCTAAGGTCGAAACGTGCACACCTTTTCTTCGTCGCCTTGTCCTGCTTCAACATTTCAACCTCCGACATAAGGGAGGCAATTTGTCGCTTCGCCCTAGCACCAGGCGAAGTCGGGACGCGCAAGGAGACGTCTGGAGGCTGGTGGCTGCCCAGCGCGTGCGTAGATTCCGACATATCAAATAAACCTGGAAGAAAGATTGTGAGAGGAAGTGCAAAGAGGGCGAAAGGTGAATGTGAGGGTGAAAGAGCCTATGAAATTCGAACTCGTCTTATATGCTCGCGGTCTACGTCATTAACTCACTCACCTGAAAGCAGCCTAGCGTCTAGGTCAATCACTCGTCTGAAAGCAGCCTAGCGTCTAGGTCAGTCACTCGTCTGAAAGCAGCCTAGCGTCTACGTCAATCACTCGTCTGAAAGCAGCCTAGTATTAGTAATCGGACTCACTTTCGTAAGTGTCCTGGCCATCCCGGGCGGAAAATTGGAGACCCGTACGTCACGGTCGTATCGCGATCTCTGACGTTTTACTTACACAGTGACTTGGTAGAGTGCCCTACGCTGCATTAACAAAAATTTTCTCGCTAATCGAAGCCACTACTAAGAGGCTCGAAAAGACCGCCCTCCTTACCTCGTTCGTCCTTCTCGCCATCCAACGCAGCAAGAAGGATGATTCCAACTCTCTCCTGCAATCTAAGGAGGTCGTTATTGTTGTGCGTTGCCTGGCCATTGACGACAGGCGTCGGCGGTGCCACTCATCGCCAAGAAGATCGGCATCCTTCCCACTTTGCGTGGACCCAACGGGCTTATTTCCACTGACTGGGAAAATGTCAGAACGCCGTCAAACTGACCTGCTTGGGCTGATCCTCGTCCACGACGCCGCCATCGAAGAGCACATCACCATATTCACCGATTACCCACAAAGCAGCCAACGTTAGTGACTCTTGTGAGATGTTATCCTGGAGGGCGGTATAGAGCTTGGACGATGTGTATGCTTGAAGCTCTGGGGTATGAGCGACAAGACGGATAGAAGCAAACAGGATCTCCTCGCGGACAAAGTTTCTGGCCTAATATGAACGTGAGTGAATAGATACCTTTGACGTTGAGAATCCACCCACCAATTTGAGCACCCTAAGTACAGTGTCGATGTGCCACCGTTTGTTTGGAGCGAATCGCTCTGCAGCGAGTGATATCTGTGTTGTCATGCCAAGCTTGAACTCGTCGTCCACAACCTCAAGGAAGGCAAGCAGCTCGCGAATGAGTATCCGCACGTTCTGCTCATTGATGAGCACATATGACAATTCGAGAGCACGCCGCCTGATGGATATATTGGAACGTCGCCTACCTGAACGGGGTCGCGGGTGCGTGAATCGTTGAACTTTGAGCGCTTGTGTAAGATATCAGCCT